TAAGCGTCTGCCTTTGGCTCAGGTCATGATCTCAGGGTCCTGGGATCGAGCCCCCCCCACCCCCACCTGGGTGGCTCAGTCAGTTAAGCGTCTGCCTTTGGCTCAGGTCATGATCTCAGGGTCCTGGGATCAAGCCCCCCCCACCCCCAGCCTCCCTGCTCAGTGGGAAGTCTGCTTCTCCCTCTCCCTTTGCCCCTCCCTACTCTCTCTGATTTCTCTCAATAAAATCTTTAAGAAAAGTAAGCAGATTCCACATTCTTCAGTAATTTTGCATAGCACATCCCAAAAAGTCCATTAGGTGGCAGAAAAACATTCACTAAATCGACTATGAGCTAGGTCTCTCACTGTCTTTTTTTTTCTCTCCTTCCTCCCTCCCTTTGAGCCCCCTTGAATTAAAAGATATAAATGCCTATTTAACTCCTAACACTATTATCATGAAGAACCCAGATCAGTATTTTCTTCAGAGAGCCAACAGGTATCATTAATCTGTAATACAGGTAACAGTTAAGCCAGGTATATGGGGGATGGTTTACTTCACTTGGTTTGGAAATGTATGAACTGGGAGATGGTCTTCAGAGGAGTAATGTACAGTAAATGATAGTGGGACTGTTAGGCCTTATTAAACTCTTTATATTTAAGCTTTTTAGCTCGGAGCAAGGTTGGGGGGAAGGCTCAGAAAGCAAAATGCAAAAAGCCCTCTTGAAAAAAAATACACAAGATGTCTTGGCACTAGCTCAATGTACACCAAATTATTAAATCTTTTCCTACTTCTTTGGGCACTGGTCCCCAAACTTGCCTGCACAGTGGGATCACCTGGGCAGCTTCAAACATATCTGATGCCCATGTCCCACCCATAGAGATTTTGATTTAAGTGGTCTGGGGTGTGGTCTACCCTTAGAATTTCTTAAAAGACCCTTAGATGCTTCTAACCTGGTAAGTTTAACAGCCACTGGGTTTATGTAATGCCGTTGTGTAATGTAACTGACCTTCCCACAACTCAAACATGTTCCACCCTGTAAGACACACACTAGAGCACGTCCACGTCAGCATATTTGAGGGCTCTGTATGGCCTCAGCTGAGTTTCATTGATTTATCATCTCCCGAACGACCAAATTTTGTACTACTTTCAAAGCCAAACATAACGAATAAAAGCAATGAAAGGAAAAGCAGAGGGATAAAGGTAGGTGAGTTGTCTCTAAAAACGTTTTCATTTCCTTTTGATTACTGTCGTAGGCTGTGTTTTATTTCTCATGGCCCTGACAATTTGGTCTTAAACACCAAATTAAAATGGTTACTTTTTGCTGCTCTTTGGCATCAGAAACTAAATGGTAACAACTTTTCCTATTTCTTGCTGAGGCCCTGTTGCGATAGGTCACTAAGTCAGGCAGGGAAAACCCTGTGTATTGCTCAAATCTCCTTAGAAGCCCCTGTGCTGGGCGGGTATCACATGACTTTACTGCAGGAAGACAAATTTAACCCTTGATGGGCCTTGTGCAACTCTCACCTTTGCCAATGACATAAACTCAGCACTGTACCAGTAAGATCTGGTGATTTATTCACATATACTGAAGGCATGAAAAATTCTTTTCTATGCTCAAGGTCTTCCAGTTGGACTAAAAATTAAATTTACAGGGGACAGATTAACAGGAGGAAAAAAAAAACAACAAAGTTCTAGTACATGCACACAGAGACCCAATAATGAAATTGAGACCCAGAGAAATGACCAAGGCTGGCAGATTTTGTACTTTTTAGACAGAGAGACAATAAATCTGTGAAGAATTGACAGGACAAACAAAACTTTCAGAGCTTCAGTTAGTATGGACTTCTAAACAGACTTTGGGCTGGGATAGTAAATTAGTAAAAAGTAACAAGGGTTGTTTGTACAGTCTTCTTGGCTCTAAATTTCCTACTCTGATACCCAGGGAGGGTACTTTTCACATAGATTTCCTGCTTTCAGGGGGACAGAGGAGGGTTTGAGTGTCCTTCTCCCACAGGCTGGCTCTTAAGTAACTTTTATTTAAATAATCAATATGCCAAAGTGGCCTATCTTGGGGCAGCCTGCCCTTGGCCCTTACAACACATAAATATATGAATATTCATATATACATAAACATATGTATTTCTGGTCTCAATTGCTGCTGATCTAAAGCCAGCCACTAGTCTGTTATTCCTTTGTGAGTAACCTGCCTTCTCTATTGTAAACTTTAAGATTTTCTGTAATTTCCATGGTCTAGGTTTGATTTCATTATTATTTACCCCTTAGGATTCTCTCTGTTTCCTATATTTGAGAATTTATGTTATTCTTCAAATATTGAAAATTCATAGCCATTACCTCTTCAAACATTATGTTCCCCATTTTTTCTATTCACTTCTTCTGAACACCCAATCAACAGGAATTGAACTTTTTCACCCATTCTTCACCTCAAAACTTTTCTTTCATGTTAATGGAATATATACCTCTTTATGCCGTGTTATGAGAGATTTCTTCATTGTTCAATCTACATCCAACCTATCTATATTGACTATATATTTCATTTCTAGAATTTCTGTTCAGTTCTTTTTCAAATCAACCTGTTCCTCTTAGATATTATGTTTTGTTTCCTTTATCCCTTTGAATATATGAAACATTCATTTTCAAGTTTTGTGTTGCTCTATTCCTCCTAACTCTTGGGTGAAGACTCTCCCAATTTTTTCATCTGTTTACTCCTCCTCAAGACGATTGGTTTCTTCCTGTGATTTGTAAGTTTTTGCAAGTGCCTCCTCAGTAAGGGTTGTTTTAGTGGAGATCCGGCCTACCCTGTCTTGCTGACAGTTCCCTCCGGGGGGCTTTGTGCTTGCTTCCGACAGATTCTGTGAATTAGGCTGCCTTTAGGTCCTGCAGCTTCACTTTGGGTCCTCATACCACAGGAGGACTATGAATTCGGCCACATACCCTGGCATTTGGTACTGGCCTGGGGTTCCAATATTTTTCAGGTGATTATTTCTACCCATGTTGCTAGGAGATGACAAATTACTTTGCCACTTTTGTAAAGCAGTAGGCAGTTCTCCTAGTCCAGATTTTATAGATAAGATTGTACTTTATCATCTTGGCTTTATGCGGGTGTTTCACTTCGCCTCCTCACACTCACAGGATCTGTGATGGGCTTTCCTCTCTGCACCTGTGTTAAAATTTTAGGCCCCCCCGACCCCAACACCTATATCTAGTTCTGAAACCCTCAGGAACCATGTCAGCTTTAGCTCACTCTTAGGATTTTAAGGTTTCCTTCTTTTGCTGATACCTAGCCTTCCTTTTTTACGGTCTCTGTGTCTCTCTTACTGCCTTAGTACAGCTTGATTTAACATTTTTATTGGTTTAATTTTGTGTATTTGGAACAGGAATCTTTCCCGTCTTTCATATCAACTCAGTCTGCCATATTTGCTGATATAATCTTAAAATATATTAAGTACTAATTAAGACAATAGTGTGCTTACCACATTAGAATAGTATCTAACGTATACACTATTATGTGATAGGTACTTAATAATAGCTAGCTTTTACTAGACACTTGCTATTTCCTAAGAATTGTTCTAATTCCGCGGTGTGTCTTTACTCATTGAATTCTCATTTTATAAGGTTGGTACTATAGTCAAACATACACTCAAATTGTGTTATTCTTATTTTATAGATAAGGAAACCAAGGCACAGAGATACTAAGTAATAGGATTTTTTAAAAAGATTTTATTTATTTGAGAGAGAGAGAGTGAGCAAGAGAGAGAGCACAAGCCAGTGGGGAGAGGCAGAGGGAAAGGGAGAAACAGACTCCCCACTGAGCAGGGATCCTGACATAGGGCTACATCCCAGGACCACGGGATCATGACCCAAGTCGAAGGCAGATGTTTAACCAACTGAGCCACCCAGGCATCCTCCTTTGCTCATATTTCAATTGAGTTGTTTTTTTACTTTTTGAATTATAATAGTTCTTTACATATTCTGAAAATAAGTCCTTTACCAGGCATACTTGGCAATTTTTTTCTTCTTTGTGAAAAACCTGTACTCTTAATCACTACATATATAGCCTCTCACTATTTATTGAAATAATTGGGAAATTTCCACAGGTTATGGCCTCTTCCTACCAGTATTTGTTGGTTTTATAATTAATAAGGGGTAAGGGAACCCTGTTGAAATTTTTGTTTGGAGATTCAAGGTTCACATTTTCACTACTAATTAAATTTTTTCCATTTTGATACAGAACGGAACAGTCCTTGTTGAATTTGAAGAATTGATGAGATCACAGCTATGATTACATCTGAAGTCTCTAGCTTTACCATCCACTGAAAATAACTAGACATCTCTCAGCTACATAAACACTGCCCAGGGCAACGTGCCCTAAGGTGCCCTGTTTTTAATTCACTAGTTGTTTTATTTTCTTATGGAAAAAGACAATTTCCAGGAGTCAGAATTAGAGAAGAGTAGATCTCGCAAAAGAATTATCCATTTCACTGATGGAGACATCATGGAAGAATACAGCACAGAGGAGGAGGAAGAGGAAGAGGAAGAAAAAAAGGAACAGAAAACGAATTCAATACATGATCCTGTAAGCTTAGAGTATCAATATAAGTGAACATGGGGGCTGACTAAATGAGAGATTAAGCCAGACAAGGTTTGTAGAAAATACAGTTTTAAGCTAACTCCTTATTCCCCTTGGTTTTCTTTCTAGATCCAGTTATAGTCAACTCATAATTTTGATAACTTTGTATTCCTTCTCTATGAGAAAGAAAATGGAATATACTATAAAACATTTGGAACCTCTACGTGAAACACTTTGTATCACCATTCTTGTTAATAATTACTCTAACTTGATTTCTCTCTCTCTGTTTTTTTTCGGTCTACACTTTCATGGGGGCCCTATCTATGGTTTTGGACGGGGCAAATAGCAAGCACCTCATTTTCTAGTAAGTATTGCCAAGGTTATTTATTCATTTATTTTGTCCTAAATACTCAAGGATAGACTTAACAGACCCTCAGAGTTAGGGCTTCCACTAGTTTAATCTACACCATGGCATCCTGGAGAAGGGACCACTTGGTCAGTTCTCAATCTATGCTTCAACATTTCCAAAGGCATAGAACCTCATATCTTTTTTTTTAATTTTTATTTTTTAAAGATTTTATTTATTTGAGAGAGAGAGAGAGAATGAGAGAGAGAGAAAGCACATGAGATGGGGGGAGGGTCCAAGGGAGAAGCAGACTCCCTGCCGAGCAGGGAGCCCGATGAGGGACTCGATCCAGGGACTCCAGGTCCATGACCTGAGCCGAAGGCAGTCGCTCAACCAACTGAGCCACCCAGGCGCCCAGCACCTCACATCTTTAGGCAGACCCTCCCATCTCTTTCCAACTCTTTTTAGTAAATTCTACCTTATATTTTGTCTTCTTTTAAAGTTATTCCCATTGATCTTAGGTGTCTTTCTTAAGACCATATAAAACAAGCCTAGATTCCTCTTTCATAGGACAGAGTTGCAAATATCTGAAGCCTCTCCCCATTCCCAGTTGACTCTTTATCGGAATAAACTTCCAAGTTTTTTTTTTTTTTGAACTATTGTAATATGACACAGTTCCAAGTTCCCTCATCAAGATCACTCTGTTATGAATAAGAACTTTATTGACCCTTCCCAGGGACACAGTGAATGGCCTAAGTGGCTATTTATAACAGATGAAATACTAAATTTTATTTTGCTCAACATCACCAATTTTCTTTAAAACACAATTGTGACAATTAATTACTTGTTTCCTTCTAACTTTCATATGCTTGTATGGACAACGAGGAGGAAACAACTTTAAAAATCTGAGAAAATATGAAGTATAGTTATATCTCTGAGGAACTGATCTTCATTCATTAAATGAACATTTATTGAGTGCCAATCGTGTTTGGCACTGTGCGGGTCCCTGGGACCCAAAGACAAGTGACAGTCTTTGCTTTCAAGGGACTCAATATTCAGTGGATATTATAGGCCAGTAAACATGCCTATAATTATAATTTGTTGCCACAATCACCAGGGTAGAAGGAGCATAGGGACTACCGATGGGGAGACTCAGTAACGCTGACATATGGAGGCAATACCATCAGAGTGCTATGAAAGTATGGCTAAGCTCAGTGCGGGGATCATGAAAGTCACTGCGGGCAGGGGAGGGGAGAAAAGTCTTTAAATTACAGTAAAAAGTAATGATGAGGTGCTTCAGTCAGATGGTATGAGCCTTAAAGGACTTTCACATCAGGGTAAAAGGTTAGGGATGTGGAAGTTACTTTGGGAACCTAGGTGAAGACACTAATCTTGCCTCAACCATACATAATACATTGGCAGAAGAAATGCTGTCTTCCAGAAAGCTTATGGAAAAAGCTTTAGTTGGGGGAAGTTGGGGAAAGACTGAAGAGGTGAAATGTTCTGGAGAGAGAAAGCCTTAGGAGACTAGGTCTGGTGAAAAAAAGCAAAACCCAATACAGCGATATGAAAATGTGGAGGAGAACAGGGGCGGCAGTGGTTTCCATGTTGAGCTTTGACTTAAGACGGCAAGGACGGGACACGGGGAATCAAGCTGGCTTCCAGGCTCCAAGCAGGACGGTAGTGTTCAAGCGCGTCTGCGTGGGGCTTCCAGGTCGTAGTGGAAGCATAAATATGCTGGCAGGCAGCACCCTGGGCTCCACACAGAAACTCTGGATAGAACTGACACCCAGATGAAACTGTAATGAGAGTTTTCAATTTACAATTCTAGTAGGTCATAAACAGGAAAACTTCCCAGGATTTATTCTAATATTTTAGAAACTTCTCTTACACACACGTACCAGGCATGGTGGCAAACAGATTAAAGAGCTACAGTATTTTTGAAAAGATAAAACACATTTAAAAATGGAGAGCCCCATTTGGATGTGCGATATGAGCAACATCCCAAGAAGAGGAATCAGTCATGGGGATCAGAAAATTGTGTCATAGGGGGTGGGTGTCAGAAATTTATAATCTTAAAGAAAAACATTTCTAGGAGACATCTTCAGGAAAACACTATTAATGTTAAACCTTTATCCCTAACTTTCACACCCAAAGCATCTATTCTGATTGATCAGGACCAACGCTGACCCTGGGTAGTTAAGTATTTTGAAAATCTCTCCTGGCATACCCATCTGGAAAGGATAGTTTATAGACGTAATCCCATGTGAAGATAGAAGATTTAACCATTCTTTTTGAGTCCTAGAAATTCTTGAGAGTCTAGAGCAATTGAAATCTTTTGTCAGCCTTAAAGTTAAGTGTAGTAATGGATCACCTGCAGGCAAGTTTAAACTCTTACCCCTTCAATTGACTCTAAGTTTGTTATTAATTCAGCTTACCAAAGCTCTTATTCTTTCTTTTAGCATGTGAATTCCTTGGTGGAAGATTTGCTACCTTCTTTGGTCTTAATCAACCCAAATATCAGTATGTGTTAAATGAGTAGTATAGAACACAAGATAAGGTATGTGACATCCTTATGGGGGAAGATTGGCTGCTTCCACTTCATATAAATTATTCTCCCTCCTGGTAATCATGTACAATTTCACTCCATGATACTTTATAGTTGCCTTTCTTGTGTGAAGTCCGAATGTCATGAGATGGGTTGCAGAAGTTGGCTGACCATGAAGCCTGAGATTACTTAAAAAAGAAGCTTCTTACAGGGGTGTCTCTGCAAAAGGGGGAGTTCAGAGGTATCTGGTTTGCAGTTAAGCTTTTCTGTATTTCTCTCCATACCAGGAAAGTGACGAGAATGGATCAAAGGCCCAGCCAGCCAAGGTTCCTAATGAAAAGTGTCACCTGGAGGCTGGGGGCCAAGAGTATGGAACCAGGCAAGACATTGCCCAGGGTGTTCTTCAGTGGAGCACCTCATCTGGGGAGGGCCTGGCAGCAGATTTCAGCTCGTAATGGGCCCCAGGACTGTAGTTCCTCTGAATGTCTGTTTCTCCGCCACTGATGACCCATGGCAACAGCACAGAGGTTGTGCTTCTAAGCCAGATCTGATCTTAGTCTCCTTGTGATTTATTCTCCAGCATCCAGTGATTGCAAGCAGTAATGAGAATTATGGATGCTTTCTCAATTTTATGAGCCCCCCCCAAGTCAACTCCACCCCGCCACCATAGTGCAAGTCTTGCTAGTCAGTTGTGATCTCTTATTATTGATGTTTGCAAATAAATGCAAATGCCTGAAGGAATTTGGATCTGGCAATTTTGGACTGAAACTCTTCATCGTGGGGCTAGGGTGCAGAAAAGAAGCTGTTCTCAGAAGAAACTTTGGGCATTATGAAGTCTAAACAAGTCCCCTTTCAGGGTATGATGTAAGGTGTGTGCTTTCCAGTAGCCACCCTGGCTTAGCTGGGGCTTGCTTTACGATAAGCAAACATTGCTAGTAACTTTGTTACAATATATCAAAGTCTGAGAATTGGGTGCATTTCCCCCCACACAATTAAAAACAATAATCTAAGCTCTATAAAAAGTATTTGAAAAATGGATGATTTTGTTTATTTGTCAGCAAAATTTCAAAACCTGGAAAGATCAAACATAGAGATCATAGCTGGATATCACAGGTTGTGCTGACGAGAGGTCGCTGTGATAGAAAAACACAGGAGTGGCAGTAATAAGACCCGAGGTCAAGTCTCAGTTTTACCATATACTAGCTGAGTGTCCAGATTTCTGAGCCCTTGTCCCCTTCTCTGAAAAATAGGGGTGGCGTATATTTGTTCCTCAAGGTTTACTGTTAAACAAAACGGGATAATGGGAAAACACTTTTAAAACCGTGAATATTCAATGTTAATGCTTAATTAGTGGCTGTTATAGACTGTTACCTTGAAAATCCCCAAAGAGCCTTCTGGAATTCACGCCCTGGTACTGTCCCATCTACGTTGACGCTGGGCTTGGCCACATGACTTGTTTCGGCCAACGAAACAGTAGCATGTGTGACGCAAGTGGAGGCTTGACGGGCACCTGCAAATGGGAGCCTGTCCTCTTAGAAACTCTACATAGTAAAGAAGTTTGGGCTAGACTTCTCCATAATGAAAGGCCACGTGGAAATAGATTCCCAAGGATGAAAGACTGTCTCACATATTCCAGTCCCAGCCAAGCTCCTCACCAAATGGAGCCACATAAATGACCTTCTCTTATCCTGTGTGGAGCAGATGAACCCGGCGGCTGAGTCCAGTCAATCTGCAGAATCACGAGAAATAATGAATCATTATTAAGTGTTGGAGTGGCTTATTTTGCAGTCATGTGTAACTGAAATAATAGCTGTAAGAGAACGGGAAGTTGGAGTTGATTTGATATGAAATCAAGAAGGAGGCCTTGGGAATAAGGTGTCATCGGTTGGATACATGAGAATAAGGCAGGTTTTGCTGCATAATTGGACAATTCTAAAAGCTCAGTGGCTTGAAACAACAAAAGGTTATTTCTTTCTCATGAGAAGTCCATTGTCAGTTCAGGTGGCTTCCCAGAGCGTTGGCTCAGGGGTGCATGCATCTTTGATCTTATGGTTGGTTCCTCCATACTGTGATGTGCTCAGGGCTGCTGAAGCAGAGTTGGAGTGGACAGTTAAGCACCAGCAATCAACGTCTCCACTAAGAATAAATCACGTCACTTCTGATTATGTTTCTTCCACCAAAGCAAGTCACGTGGCCACAATTAACTTTAAGGGGTGTGAGCCTCCTAAGACAGCTGAGAAAGGGAAACACTTTTTCCTAGTGGCAGGATGGGGTAAATGATGGGCTCAAGCGTCAATGTGATATTGATTTAATCTCAGCTCTGATGCCCCTTTGTACCCCGATGGCCCTGTGCAAGTGACTCAACTTCACAATGTTCCTATGTGTAAAACAGATTTGATACAGGCAGCAAATTCTATTTGAATTAGCTTATGCAACAAAAAAAGAATTTTTTGGAGGGATACTGAAGTATCTCATGGACCCCAAGGGCACATAAATTTTAGTAGGTCTAGAACAAATTCAGCAAACATATACATAAGCAATATTCTCTCCATTTCTCAACTTTCTTACATGAGGAAGAAAGATCACTGCATAGCTCTTTTATTTTGTAAACTTTATTTTTACCGGGATATAATTGACCTATAATATTGTATTAGTTTCAGGTGTACAACCTAATGATTAATATTGGTATATATTATGAAATGATCACCAGATTTAGTCTAGTTAATATCCACCACAAAGTTACACATTTTTTTTCTTGTGATGAGAGTTTTTAAGATCTACTCTCTTAGCAACTTTCAAATATATAATGTTTTACTAACTATATTCATCATGCTCTATCATTACCTCATCTTGATACTTACACTTATTTTATAACTGGAAGTTTGTACCTTTGGACCACCTTCGCTCATTTCACCCGCCCATCATCCCCCACCTCTGGCAACCACCAATCTGTTCAGTGTATCTATGAGTCTGGATTTTGTTATTTGTTTTTGTTGGTTGGTTGGTTGGTTTTTAGATTTCACATATAAGTGTGATTATGTATTATTTATCTTTCTTTGTCTGACCTATTTCATTTAGCATAATACTGCCCCCAAGTTCCATCCATGTTGTTGCAAATAACAAGATTTCCTTCTTTTTCAAGGCTACATAATATTCCATTGTGTGTGTGTGTGTGTGTGTGTGTGTGTGTGTGTGTGTGTGTGTGCCACATTTTCTTTATCCATTCATGTATTCATGGTTCCTTAGGTTGCTTCTGTGTTTTGGCTATTGCAAATAGTGCTGCAATAAACGTGGCGCATATGTCTTTTTGAGTTAGTGTTTTCATTTTCTTTGGATAAGTGCCCATAAATGGAATTGCTGAATCACGTGGTGCTTCTACTTTTAATTTCTTGTGAAATCTCCATACTGTTTTCCATAATAGCTGCACCAATATATTTTGCCACCAAGAATGCACAAATGTTTCCTTTTCTCCACATCCTCACCAATACTTGCTTTATCTTGTCTTTTTGATATGAGCCACTCTAATTAGGAATGAGGTAATATCTCATTGTGGTTTTAACTTGCATTTCCCAGATGATTAGTGATGTTGAGCAACTTTTCATATATCTGTTGGCCATTTGTATATCTTCTTGGGAAAAATATCTATTCAGATGCTCTTCCCATGTTTTTAATCAGATTTTTTTTTGCTATTGAGTTATATGAGTTCTTTATATATCTTGGGCATTAACCCCTTATAAAGATATATGATTTGCAGATATTTTCTCCCATTTGTCTTTTCATTTTGTTGACAGTTTTCTTTGCTGAGTAGAAGCTTTTTAGTTTGATGCGGTCCCACTTGTTTACTTTTGCTTTTGGTACCAGATCAATAGCATTTAGTCTGCCTCTCAGTCCCAATTCCAAACATACAGGACATAGAATCTGATTAGCCCTTTTTGCTCAGGTGACCATCCATCTTCTGATCAATTGTGACCAAGGAAGTGGAGTCATGTAGCAGCAACATGAATATAGGACCTACTTCTGGGTGAGCAAGATTCTCAGAAGAGGATTAAAGTGAACTAGGCAGACACACCCCAGGAGCATTCTAAGGATAAAATGTGAAAATTGAGGAAAAACATATGGCTCTAATTAGGTACTTAAACCATAATATCAATTATAATTATTAATACTGATAAGAATTGTGAGTTGAAGGAGTCTGAATGGTTTATCCCCACTAAGGAGTCAGTCTTAGTTCTTCATCTGACGGGCCCTGTTAGTCCAATTTCAAGATAAAGCAAATCTGAGCTTCTGATATGGCAGAGAAAGTGGCTAAGCCTACCAGTTAAGCATTGGTCATTTGTACCTCGGGTGTCAGATCATACTAAAACCCTCTTTGCTTTATTTGTTAAGTTGCTTCAAACAGACCCTACGATGGACTCTTTTTTACTCTCTACTTTTCCTAAAAAATAGCTATACCCTGGAAGATATCCACTTAGTGCTGATTCTAGACAATTAGGCAAACCAAAGTGTAATATTTGCAGGAGTGAATTTTATCTAGTAAATAGTATACTCTCAATCTATTTTTCTTTTCCTCTGAAAGAATGGAGGTTGCCTTCCCTTACGGTCAGTGACCATATGCAAATCAATCAAATCTTGAGCTAAATATACTAAGGAAAGCAAATGGGAACCAATGCCCAGATCTTACTGGGCTGTGGCTACAAGATAACTTCACATTTCCCTTAATATTAATTCATTCTTTTAATATTAATTGGGCATCTTCCCTGTACCAGTTACTGTTTTAGGTGCTATCAATCAAAGAGACAAAAATCTCTGCACTCCCCCTGGCCTTAAATTCCAGATAGCTAAATTATCAGGACATCCAGGTTTTGTGTGGCCAGCCTCTCAAATGGTTCCAATAATCTTCACCTCCTGGGACTCACATCCCATGTAGCCTTTCCCACATTGAACCAGGGATGTCTATGTTACCAATAGAATATGTCAGAAGTAATGGTGGGACACTTCTGAGATAACTGTAAGAGAGACTATGACTTCTGTTTTGGTCTCTTAAATCACTTACTCTGGGGAGAGCCAGCTGCTATACTGTGAGTACATTCATGCAGCCTGTGGACGGGTCCATTTGGTAAAGAACCGAAGTCTCAGGCAAACAGCCAGTGAGGAACAGAGGAGTTCTCACAGGCCCAGTTTCTCCCAAGAGCCAACCACAGCATCCCCACTTCTCTCAATTAGGTCCTGGTGGCTACCAGGTCACACACTGGCTGGTATACCCCCTTGCTCAGATAGCTGCCAGGACCCACATGCACAGCTCCCTCTCCTGAACCAGGACTCCAGCAGCACAGGCCTTTGGGCAGCCAGGGTTCCCAGGTGTTTCTGCCAGAAGGTAACCCCAACCCCAGCCCTGGCAAGACGTTCAAGTCCCCCCCAGATCTGCCTTCAGAGGCAATAGGCACCATTGTAGGTT